TCCCCCCGCCCCGAGGACGCGAGCCCCTCGAAATGAGCCCAGGCTCTCGAGGGAGGTCGCTGCGCTGTTGCCCCCCGAAGCGACCCGGGACGGCGCGTTGGGCACAGGAAAGGGTTTGCGGGAGCTGCGCTCCTAATCTGCTCTCGGTCGACTTTCAGGCTCAGATGTTTGATGCTATTAATGCAACTTTTTTTTTTATCTGAACTCCGTGTGCGTGTGTGTCAACATGCAGCAGGTGGTTTATTATATCCCACGGTTATTTTATTACGGGCTCTTTTTATAGCTGCAATCAAAATAATGCCGTGGAGTTTCGAGGAGGATTTTACGTCTGTTTTGCAACACTCACTCGAGCTTCTGAAAATATTTGTTTTTGGGGGGGACGACACGTGGGGAGCTGGAGCGACTTCCGTTCCTGCCGGGAACGAGCGAAACTAAAGCAAAGTTTGACTCGCCGCCCAAGGGCGGCTGAGCGGGCGGGGGAGCGCCTGGGGGGCTTGCACCCTTCTTGCCAGGTTGTGGGGAGGGCGGAGGTGGGAGCGCTTCCCCAGCCGCCAAGGTGCGCGCCGCCAGGATGGCAGAGAGGTTTGGCGGAGCTGTGAAAAGCAGAGATCAGCTTGTCTTGCTTTAACCTACATTAGCTCCGGGTCCATATGGTAGATGCTGCCTGTGGATCCTCGGCACCAAAGCGAGGCCCTATTCTTGCACGCCGCCCTGCTTGTGCCAGATGGTGCCTGGACCAAGTGGCCATGCGTGGGGTGGCTCTGGTTAGCCTAATAAACGTCCAATACAAGTCAAAAATCAAAACACACACATACTAACATCTGCTAGAGCCTGCAGTACCCAGCTAGCCTTTCAATACTGAATTAAAGAGCCCCACAGCCCTTCTGTTCCCCTAGGTTAGACACTCATTACCATTTATCAAGCACTGATGTTATCTGGCCTCTCATTTTATTTAGTACCGAAGCTATTAGCATCAGATTTGATTTTGACAGTTGACGCTGCTGCTGGTAAAGCCGGGATCTGGCCGGGCGGATCGCTGCAAAATTCCGAGTTCATCAGCGGCGACACATTCCTCCTTCCCACTTGTTTACGAGGCCGAGACAAAAGAGCTCCTCGCCTGTGCCTCTGCCTTGCGGTTCGTCTCCATCAC